ATTTTACTGTTCTGGTGGCACATAAAAGTGTTAATGCAATAATACACCCGGAGTGTGCCACAGTAATGGAAAACACTTAAACAAAGAGGATTGAGGGGTCAGGAGGAATGCAGCAAAATTCAATAACAGAAAATGTATCAGAAACTGCTGCTTTAATAGATCCCCCTCTTGTTAATCCCTAGCCTTGGGGGNNGGGGGGGGGGGGGCTGGTCTCTGTTAGTATTTTGCTCTTTCACACGCACACATCTGGAAGTCTGAAACATAATTCAGAGATTTAGACAAGCTGTGCAGAAGCTCCATGTCTGCGAGTCAATAACTCCGCAGTCCAATCGAGCTCTACCGACCCCCACCCCTCTGCCCCATGTGTCAGAACGCAGGTGGGGAGGCCAAATGAGAAAGGAGCCTTAGTTAACCTGTCATATATCACACACATACGTGTCAACCTTCAAGCACCAGTACAGGACAACATATATGCTCTCGGTGAGACATAAAATGTATTCACAGGTGACAGGCCACATTGTGATCAGCCCATAAATATGCACAAACAGCCATTAGCAGGCTTTCACCCTGACATCCCTGATACATGGGCTGAAATGGAGTAGCAGATATTAGGCCGACCCTTACTCGCCCTTACTAAATGAAAGAGGCATTTCTGTTCTGAGTTACATATTCAAAGACTCCTCCAACCACTTATTGAGCTAATGACCTGCTCAAACACATTACTGTCTGCCAGTTCCTATGCTAAAAATAGCTCATCTGAAAACATGGCTCTCTATCTGATACGGGCTCTTTTTTGCGGCGCTTTGCCCTCATCTTATCTGACGCCGCGTAATAGACGTTGAATAGAAAAGCTTTCAGCGTCCCCTTTTCAACTGAACAATGTGATAAGAGAAATCAGATCAGAGCTCATTCAAGCACCATTGGCAGCATGTTAAGTAAATTCTCCTCTTACGAAAACTCAATTTGCCGCCGTTAATCTAACTAGGAATACTGCTCTGCGTGGAGCCATGTGGCCACTGAAACATTAGGTACTCCTTGTATGTCTGCTTCCTCTGTCCCGTGTGGTGGATTTGCTGGGGCCTTTATATCTCTCTGTGACCTCAGTCTAACCCCATCCATCATTCTCAGTTCATCCACCCCTCCCTGTTGTCTTTCACCTGATAACAAAGCCCTCTCTGCTCTACCTCCACTGTAGTCGCTCACCCTCCACCTAATCCTTAATCTTACCCTCGTCTCACTCCTGTATTATTCGCCGTATTCCTGAAATCTCCTCTTCTCCTTTCATCCCCTTCCTGCCCCTCTGTCCTCTCCGCTCTCCTCCTCGCCTCCCTTGTTAACCTCCCCTCTCTTGATGCCATCTCCTCCGTGGCACCCTATCATTCATCTGCTTCTCTTTCTATACACACTCTAACCCCTGCTTGTCTCCAAATCCTCTTCCTCTCTCCCCCAGCTGCCCTGCACCGGCTGCTCCAGCTGTTGTTGGTCCATTGACACAGTTCAAACAAAAGGGGCTTAGAGCATCCTACAGCTGTGAATGTTGCAGGAGCGAGCCAAAACAGATACACAGACACAGCAGAGGACCAGGCCAGTCTGGGCATGTCTGTACTTATGCAAATGGTATTTAAGGCTTTCAAACACCTCTCTGGACATGCAGATAGAGAATGTGCCGTGCGCTCTGCTTCTCATAGAGGCAGTATTAAAAGGTGTGAGTATGAATATTCTCATGACTCAGGCCTACCTAAAGTCTCTACAGCCCCCTCACTGATACAACAACCTGCTCTCCCTGATCATCTGGCTCAGCATCCAGAGAGGAGACAGCAGGGGTTGGTCTTATTACCTTTTCAGCGTGACAACACAGATGGCCAGCCCGGCAGATAGATTGATGGGGATACATGTGCTATTTATTGCGGGGAGGCAGATAATGACACCACAGCTCAGGTGGTGAAATGTACACCGGTTATTGTGCTCCATCAGGCTGATGAAATAACATTGTTTAGGTGGCATCCAACCTGCCCCTTCTCCGCTGGGGCCCCTTGGAAGATGACATGTTTTGTTTTTCTCCCCGTCCCCCCCCCCCCCCGCCCCCCCGCCCCCACCCAAACACACACACTACCACACACACACACACACACCACACACACAAACACCTTACCCATAATGCCTTTCACCACAAGTGGGTTTAGACATCTCACAAGACCTGTCTCCATGACAACGAGCTACGAGCGCTCATAGAAAGACCAGATCTGTTTCCTTCGGCATCATGCTAACTGGGAAATGGTACACCTGATAGGAAGCTTGTGTTCTTATTTCTTTTAGCTTTAATTTAAATCCAGTGCTGTGAGCAAATGCTGCATGGGTGTTGTGACACTTGGGGGACCTGATTCAGCAGGAAAAAAGAAACAAAAAACACCAGAAAACTTTCTTTTTTTATTCACATTTTAGGATGAACACAATGGGAGGAAATTATCTATGGTTGTGCAATGCACCACAAAGCTTTTAGGGTTGAATAATAAGAATACATTCACTGTCATTTGTCCTCTTCCCCATTTTTACCAATGACTCTGAACTTGTAGTGTACACTCATATTTTTTCAGCATAAAAATAAACCTGTCTTTAATTATGCATGGATTCGTGTGCCAGCTTGGAGAGGAAAAGTTTGTAGTAGGCACTGTGTATTATTCAGATAAAAGGAGAAGCTGGGACTGATATTACCTCACGTTTCCGATGACCCTGGACCCCGTAGGCAGATGACACTCACAGGGATATACACACACAAATGCTCAGACACACACACATATATAAACACACACAAACATGGCAGATGGCAAAGCATCATGGGGGAGATTGGCACTCACTCTCTCACACTTCCCTTCTCTCTCTCTTAAACACACAGCCCACAGACACACAAATATACAGACACACATGCATGAACACACACACACACACACACACACACAGTGAGGATCAGCAGGGATAATCCTCCAGAGCTTCCAGGATGCCATCTGTAGTTGAATAAACTGGAGTTTATTTTCTGTTGCATCACCAGGGGGCGCTCTGGGCTTGTTTAAAGATCAGCCTCTCACTCACACTGAAAAACTGTGGGGGTCAGTGATGCACGGGGCAACTTTAAGGTCAAACACGCACAATATAAGCACCAAAATATTTATTGTTTGTCAGGCAGGTTTGGTTACAAAAATAAAGTGAACTCTAAAATACAATCTGATCTTATCTATTTAAAATATAAGCACAAAATTCATCAGTAAACTCTGTAGAACTGAAACAACTGCCTGGCAAGATAAACATGTCTGAACTGGATTTAACCAATAAAACATTATAAACAAAATCAGAATTTACATCAACAGAAAAAAAAAAAAAGATCCCCCTAAAATCCAACTTTAGGGGGAAGCTGAATTCTAGTTGTGAGAAAGAAACAAACTAAAACCTCTTTCTCGTGGGAGCAATCCTGTTCAAATCGCCCACAGTCTATTTTTAGTCTTTAATCATCCTGAGAACATCTTTTTTAGCAGGATCTCACTACACATTCATTCAGTTTACACACTCGCACATCTGAGAGCTTGTCAGTCCGAAACGGAGGAGAAACTGTGAAACCGCCTGAGAGTGCTGCCTTTGGTGAAAGAAGGTTTTCATTTAGGTTTGCAAACCAAAATCACTGGTTTACGTTTGGTATGAAACCATAACGCCCTCCATGATTGTGCAATGTCATGGTCGCCTTGATGCAAGTAGAGATGTGACAGGAAATGCCCCCCACCCCACCGGGCCACTGGGGAGCCCCGAAGTTGCAATAATTCTTGGTAATAGATTAATTTAAAGGCCAAGTGTGTAACAGTTAGGAGGATCTAACGGCAGAAATGGAATACAATATTCATAGACATGTTTTCATTAGGGTGTAATCACCTGAAAATAGGAATAATTGTGTTTTTGTTCTATCGCTTGTGTGCACATGACGTCAGGTGACTGCGTTCCTGTGGGACAAACTGCACATGGAGGCGCATCGGAGGCACTATCACAAATTCTCAAAATGTGTTTTGTGCCTTTGCCTCAACTCTCAGGGATTTACGGAGTTTACTGATGGACATTTACTTGTAGCTATTAGCTAATGGCGGTCCAAACCTCCTGTACTGGAGATGTAATGTTGAAAAGCAGCTACTAAGCAGCTAAAGTAGCTAACTGCTACCAACAAGTGGGCTATTTATCTATCTGCAAACTCAGAAATGCAGAAAATATTTTCTCCATAAAGTATTTTCCCTTCCACGGAAACTGCCATTGTTGCACCGATATGTAGCCCAGAACGGACACACAGCTGGTGGTAGATGTAGTTAACATCTGTTCATCTGTTAAACAGAAGCTGTCCAGTTGTCAAATGACGCTTCGCTTTGAGTTTGAACACACCTTGAATCATCTGTGATAGTAAATTTAATATCAGTGTGTTTTCGACTGTTGTTCATGCAAAACAAGCAATTTGAAGACATCACCTTGGAATTGTTTTGGGCCTTTTTTCACTATTTTATACATTTTATAAGCCAAACGATAGAAAATAACGTCCACAGTTTGAGTTCTGTCCGTGACACTCCTCTTTCTGCCCTCATTTCCCGTCACCTCTCTACTGTTCACTCAAACTAAAGTAAAAATACCCAAAAAATACACATGAAGTACTTTAACATCAGTATTTCTGGAAGTATATTTATCTTTTTCCAATGTCGACAACTTAACACCATGAAGCCAAGATACCAAATTCCTCCACAAACAGGGAGTAAAAAGAGAGGAGCCATCTTTTCTTCACTTTTTCCTCCCCTCGTTCCCTCTCCTCCCTTCAGACGGAGAAACGGCGAAGCGAAGGAGGAGGAAATGAACGAGACAGATTAGCTGCTGCTGACAGGCGGTGTCTGTAGATCCCTGCTCTGCTGAGTCACCAATTCTCGGCCTCTATACATAGTTCCACATTAGACATCATCTCGTCCGCTCAAGCCCTTAATACACACACACACACACTGGTAATCTGAACTAACACTTTCACTAGCCTCTGTCTCCTCCTGGAAACGTTTCTCAGTGGATGAATACTAGCGAGAAATACCTGGATGATTTCCCGTGTGACAGGCTGATAATGAATGAAGGAAAACACTGGTGCAAAATTACGCTCTTCATCCTTGGTGTGAAGCTCGTGAGGGCCCCCTGTCCATCACCTCTTCTTCTGGAGTTTAAAGGTCGTAGGAGTTGTAAATTACAGGTCAGTCAGTGGTGCGACATCATGACGTTGCCCTCCTCCTCCGGCGTTTGGAGCTGAGCCACGATGTGGACGAGAGCGATCTTCTTCACCGCCTTGTGAAACACCAGCTTCATGTCCTTCGACTCGCCCGTTGCGATGCTGATGCAGCTGTAGAGGAGGAGAGAGGATTGGGGGAGTGGGGGGAGGAGAAAAAACACTAACATTAATGCAAGATGGGAAAAGAAAGTAGATACCAGACGTTTTGGGGGAAAAGCTTAATTGTTTCTTGCTGAGAGTTTAAGGGGAAAATCGATACCACTTTTATATCTAGGAGTAAAGTACAGAGCTGGAGGTGATTGGCTTAGCCTAACAGCTAACGTACATCTGTTTGAAGTTTAAAAATACACTTACAAACACTAATTAACTAACTTTTACACTTTTGGTTCCATACGGATTAAATAAACAAGATACAATGGCTTTGGCCAAAGCATGGCTAGCTGTTTCCCTTTGCTTCCAGTCTTTACGCTAAGCTAAGCTAATCACCTCCTGGCACTGTACTGAATGCATACATATAAGAGTGGTATCAATCTTCTCATCTAAAACTCGGAAAGAACGCAAATTAGCGTGGTTCCCCCAGGTCAACATCTGGACTACTAGCCCAAAAACAGAAAGACAGCTCAGTGTCTTCCAGTACAGTCAATTTATTAGCAGTGAGCCAGTGAGTTAGTGCAATTACTAATTAAAAAAAAGGACAAAACATGGATGTTTTTGTCCAATATTGTGCCATTGTTGGACTTTTCCATCCAGCCAAACCAGGCAACATTACACTTGACCGTCCTTACTATGAATAAATTGAAATTAAAGGGGAATCACTGCAAGTCTACCATAAGGAAACATCATAATGCTGGTGACAATGAACTAGCTAGATGCCTGTAAAGGTACCTGACAAGAAAAATAATAAATCTTGTTCACATCTGAGAGTATTTAGATGAACAGATGTAACACGTGATAAAACATATTAATTGCATGTTAATATCATGGTTTTTTTTGCATGTTATCACCTTATTTCCACTGTAATTGTTCACCTTCTAAGAGGATTTGTTATAAATGCAGACAGTGTTGCATCTGTTCATCCAAACGCACTGTAAAGATTTCATTTCAGCCAAAGTCAGCGAGTGTCGGTATGTCACTGCTGTCGCACGAAAAGCTCATTTTCTGAGCTTCAGCTGCAAACAGAAAATGTTCCTCTGGTGATAAATACATGTTTGAGGTTTTCGAGCGACAGCAGTGGCGGTTGCAATGTTTTAAAAAAAAAAAAACTTGTAAAGTAGAAGAACTGAGTTTTGTTTAAAATGGACATCAATCGCCTGAACTGACTCTCAATGTCTCTTATTTTTATTTGAATATTGAACAGAAACATGACCCACTCAAATTCTAATAAAAATAGTTAATAATGAAAAGAAAAGTCTCCTTAGCAACAAATTTCGGTAAAACAGATTAAAAAAAAATAACATTAACACTATCATAAATAGAGTAAATTTGTGTGTCTAATTCTCTACTAATAATAAAGGATAACTTATTAATAGAGAAAGCCATTGCTACTTCTTGCTGTGGTCAGGATTTCCTCCTTTTAGTGGGTCATGTTCAAGATGCAAACAAACTGCAGTGACACCTTGAGACAGTTCATGCTAACGAGTTCCCGAAATCTGTTTGCCATATAAGGACGAGTCACCTTGCCAACCAAGCAAGTAATGTTATACATTTTTTTTATAATGCATAACATTACCTCAGTTTTTCTTCTTTGCAAGTTGTTCCTGCTGTTGTTTCTCGGCTTTCCGTTTCTTGTACTGGGCTATCTCGGCCATCTGCAGCCCGTGTGCCATTTGCCTGTTGGGACGAAGTGAACAGCGTGAACACAGGACACACACACACACACACACACACACACACACAAACTCTTAGTCTCAACTGACCACTGTACCACTAAGGCGCCGTTGATCTTTTTTTTCACAGCAGCCCTTTGGTCATTAAGTAGTAGGGTAATTACAGGTGTTACCAATGACACTGATTAAAGCTCCGTTCCATTTAGTGTAGCATAGTTTCCAGTGAGCCAACATGCACAATAGCAGCACCCTGACACTGTTGGAATTTAACCTTAATCAGCATCATTGGTAACACCTGTGTTTATTAGGTCTTTTTTATTTTGATACAATACAATACAAAAATGGAATAAATTGTTAAATATTTGCTGCAATGGGTGAAAAAGTCCAGGGAAACTCAGAATAAAAAGAGAAAGAAGAATGAAAAAGGAGGAAGAGAAAGGAGGAGAAAGGACAGTTGTTCCTACCCGGTCTTCACTTCTGGAGGAACAGGCAGAGGTTTGGTAAATCCATCTTTTCCTACGAGCCAGTAGGTCTCCTCCATTCCTTTCCCCTGAGAAAGAGACAAACAGAATGGCAGATGCAGGAACAGACTGTACCTCATCCACGGGATGAAATCTCGATCGTCTGATAAAGGAGCGTACCTTGACTTCGGTCCTGCCTCTCAACTCGAGCTTGTAGCCGAGATTTAGTTCCCGTAGGATCTTCACTGTACTCTGGTGGACGTGGATCCTGTAGGCTGCAGCAGGTATGATCATCATGTTGACATATACATACATAACAACACTCCTGTCTGGTTATTTCATCCATAAACAGTTCAGTCCTATTTTCTGTAGGTCTGGAACTTACGCAGCCCGCTGGACTCCATACGAGAGGCGACGTTCACCGTGTCTCCGAACAGACAGTATCTAGGCATGGTGAGACCTACCACACCTGTTACACATGGACCTGCAACAATCAAACACATATTACTTCCTCAGTTTGCTAAGTTAACGCTGAAGTCTGGGTTTTAGGTCAGTTTTTGGAGAGGATGGGGACTACTGAGTATGTTTTGGGGGGACATTTTAGCACAGAGATGACAGGAAACGAGGGGAGAGAGATTAAAAACTACATGCAACAAACCCATTCAGTTCATTTTACGAATATGACCCTGCTGTGACATTCTTCACCTCTGTGATGCCCACTATTTATGTGCCTTATTGCTTATATAAAGCACTATACAACCAACTGTACAATACCATATCATACTATACAACAGTGGATCCCAACCTGTAGCACCACAACCCTATTAGAGCTCAAGCATCTAAATTTATTTGACATACCCTTTCTGTAAAGTCAGAACCATATATCTCCAAATTTGGTGATTTTGAATCCTCCGACTTCTTAAGACAAATAAACTGTTTTTAAAAACCTTCTTCCGAGCAATTTTCTTATGAAAAGTTGACTTGTTAGAGATCCTACGTGGTTCTCACAGGACAGCGACTCTACAAACATTTGATGATTTTAAAGAATATGATGCATTAAACTACCCAGCAGTATATAAAGCAGTTAAAATGAGCTCAACCTTAAACATCTACCGCAGTAAAATGCAACATATATATTAATGCTGCTGTAATATGAATCCAAAATCTTCGGATATAATTGTAAAACACTGACAGGGAACATTTCACTGCACAATGAGTACTTTTTATACTTTAAGTACTTTTTGCTGAAAATACTTAAACATACTTGTACTTGAATGCAGTATTTTCACAGTGTGTTTGTGCTACTTTTACTTAATTAAAGGATCTGAATCCCATTATTTTAGCTTTCCTTCCTTCCTTCCTCACCTGTGTGTAGTCCTATACGTATTCTGACAGGAACGTCAGGCATGTGTCTCATTTTGAAGGTTCCCACAGCGCTAAGGATGTCAAGGGCCATGTTTGCAATCTCTGAGGCATGCCGGTTGTCGTTCGGGACGGGAACGCCTGACGCCACCATGTAAGCATCACCGATAGTCTCCACCTTAGAGTAGAACAGAATAGAATGAGCAACGCTGCAATCTAATGAGATTCAACGCCTGCAGAGCTGAATAAACTCAGCACCTTGTAGACATCGTGGTTTCCTATGATGGCGTCGAAGATGGTGTAGAGGTCATTGAGCAGGTCGACCACCTCGATGGGTTCACTGTGGGCTGAGATGGTGGTGAAGCCGACGATGTCGCTGAAGTAAAGCGACACACTGTCAAAATACTCAGGTTCGACTATGCCGCCCACCTTCAAAGCCTCAGCCACGGACCTGAGGAGAGAATAAAACAAGTTTATTTCCACTTTAACTGCACTGTAATCCTTGTTTCTTTTGCTTATACGGTCTCTTTCCATTTCTGTTTTATATCCCTCACTTCTTTGGTTTTTTAAGCTGTATTGTGCTGCAAATCCATTTTCTTGCAAATCCATTTTCTTGTCTGTCATTCAATTTCGAAACTGGCTTCTGTAAGGTTTTAAACAGATGACAGTTAACACAGTTGATAGATAGATTAATTATAAAACGTGGTTTATCAAACGTACATTTACATTATTTATTGAACTTATTATCTAATTGGTTTAGGAGTTATTATTATTTTACCATTTCTATTATTGAGAAGACTGTCTTGAAGCATTCATACTATACAAATAAGCAGAGACATAAAAGCACACATACAAGTAAACTGCAAAAATGACACCTAACAGCTAATTTAGTTACTATTTGGATTCAAAAGAAAAGGTTTGTTACGGGTCATATAAACCCTGATTCCCCTTTAGAATAGTAACATTATTTTGTGTGAAAACAAATTAATTTGCAATAGAAAAAAAATCATAAATAAATTGCATATTTTTTACACTAAGTTGGCACATGTGGAAAAAAAGTGTTAAAATCTTAAATAAATAAAACATTATGTAAGAAATTATTATATGAATAAACTGTGTCAAATATATAAATGAACCAACAACAAATGTAACATGTGATAAGAATGAATAGCAAATAAAAGTGCTATTGGAAAAATTGCTATTATGAAATAATAATTTCTACTATGACATGAAAAAGAACATTTTAAAAAAAAGATGAGTTTTAATAATTTGTTAAACTATTTCACACATAATTGTTTCATTTCCTGTATATCATTTACACAATTCATTCATGTGATTATTTATTTCATATTTATGTATTTAATATTGAACATTTTGGGGCTCAGAGACAATCTTATGAGTGTATTTTTGATTTATGTTCTGTGTTTTATATACAAAACAAACAACTAAAATCATACTTTTCATACTTTTCCAAAGTCTGAAATTATTGATTATTATCCTCCATTATTAAAATGTCCGTGTTTTTTGTACGAGTGTGTTAACTCACGGCGGCAGCATCTGAGTCAGCAGCTTCTCCGTCTTCTGTTTCTCGATCTCCAGCTCCTCCGTTCGCTCCCTGATCAGCTCCTCCAGGTTGGACGAGTACTGCTCCAGCATCCTCAGCATGGAGTCTATGATGTTGGTCTTCTTGCCCTTGTTGATGTTCTTAAACTGAGAGAAGAGGATGGAATGAAAGGCGGGAAGTACAGGAATAACGTTATAAACCATTAAGCAGTATCCTCTCACCCTAAAATCATCTGAATTAATTAATTCCCAATCAATATTTACCAAAGCAAACAAACATTTTCATCAAAAACGATACAACCATCCAGGTTTTTCTTAGAATTCTATTATTTTAGGATTTGAAAAATCATGTCAAAATAACATTTACACCATCAAAGATACTAAAACTCTCCATGCTGGGTGAATTTTTTTCAAAAATATGGTAGGTAAACTGTAAAATACACTAGAAGAGGGCTTTAAATTGAGAATTAAATCCCTAAAAATTAAGGAGTCAGCGTCAACACTTATTAAAAAATGCTGATATATCAATTTAACACCAGCTAAGAAGATACTTGTAGCATTTAAAGCTAAACATTTAGTTCAAATTCAATCAAAATGTAGTTATGACCAACTAAACTTCTGACCTTTTTTACAAGCTGGTACACTTTAAGATTTGGTCCACACCAGCTGTTTTTACATCAATACCGACAATTAAACTGACTAAAAACTAGTCCTACCTGGTCGAAGATCTCGTCAAAGGTTGGTCTCTTGTCCGGCTGTTCGTTCCAGCACTGTTTCATCAGCTGGATGCACTCTGACGGAGCGTAGTCTGGACTGACCAGTGGGCGGCACAGAGGAGAAGGCTTACGCAGCTTCTCTATAATGTCTAGAACACAGAGAATCACCTGTTGTGTGTATGTGGTCATTGTTAGCAGTTTGGCATAGCGATGGCAGTGTCAGTCAGTCAGTGAAATAATAAATAATTAATTCTGAGGAGACAAAAATGTCAACCTCATGGTGGCCCTAGAGGAAAAGTCAGGGGATCACCAAAATCAGTGGGATTCATCATTGTGGGACTTCAAATTTAAATGCAAAATTTCATGACAGTCCAGCCCATATGTGTTAAAATATTGAACCACTAGCAATAACTGTATACGTGTTAACAAGCTAATGCTACGCTTAGCATAATATCTAATATCTCTCTTTGTTCTGATTTATACCAAAGAGAATCAGAGAAGCCAGAGAAGAAAAGCTGTAGGTCATTGTCAGTGAAATAAGTTCCCTCACTGCTGTTTAAGGGACAGTTTTAAAATGTAACAACTTTTTCACTTTTTCAATTTCGTCGTATTTCAACCTGGTGGCAAGCACTGTACATATATAGAAACAACCAATCTTCTTGCTGACGGTCTTGTTTGGTCATATTTTGGCACTCATATTAAATTGAGACTATTTCATAACCAGTTAAAAACTCCTTGTAGTAGGTTTAACTTTGGAAAATTGGATTTAAGCTGTATGAAATGGGAAGGATGAGGACATTTTCTGCTTTTCTATATGTAAAAAAAATCCTAAAATCCTCTTTAATTTAGAGCAAATGTAACAGTATTTATAAACAAAAACGATGTTCAAGATCTTTACTGATCAGAAAAATCTGTAATCCTTCATATTTAGTTTGTTTATGTGTCTGTGCAGCAGTTATCATACCTGCGGCGGTGAGGTCAATCATACAGAACGGAGGCCCTCTGACCACCACCTCCTGCATGACAATGGCAAAGCTGTACACGTCGCCATGTAGAGTCCCGTGAAGCCCTGGCTGGCTGGGGATCCTCAGGATCTCTGGAGCCGTCCACAGCATCTCTGGGACACACACACACAGATCGGCTTTAGTTTGTAGAAAAGAACAAAACAGAACTTGACCCCGGCTCATAATCTGATCTGTTCTCTCACCGTCTGCAGGTGGTTCGATGTAGGGGAACCTCTGAGCCTCCAGAACCTCGTTGTAGCCGTAGTCTGTTACCTTCAGGACAAAACGCCCATCCACCACACAGTTACGGGACTTCAGGCGACTGTGGGAGATACCGCGGTGGTGGAGGTACTTCATACCCTGAGACAGAAAGCAGGTAAAATGGTTTTCAGCAGTCGTGGAAGGTATTTAGTAAACTGTTTAGCTGTAATAAGAGATCGTGTGTGAGCCTCTATTGTTTCCTGCTACGGATGAGTCCAAACTTCAGTCTTGTTACCATACTGACCTTAATTAAATCCAGTAGCAGAGACGACTTGAACATCCAGTCTAGTTTGACGTCATCGTTGAGCAGCAGGTCCTCCAAACTTCCTCTGGAGCAGAACTCGGTCACGATGGCGAACACGCCACAGTCGTGAAAGAAGCCCAGGAAAGGGTTGACGTTTTCATGACGCATGTCCTTCATCTGTTGCCAAAAAAATCAATAGCTTTTAGTGTTTGTGCATTACAAATAAGATACTTCACAGCAATGTCACGTACCAGTTCAAACACAAGGCTGGTTTTTGGGTTGATGTTGCTAAACATCCCATCAGGAAGTCTCTTCAGCCACGCCCAGTCACCCTGGAGGAGAAGAAAACAGCACATACAGTTGAATGATTAACCAGGGTTTCCACTCTTTTTAAGAAATCATTTCCCAGGACCTTTCCTGGACATTTTCTCGACAATACAGGACAGCACTCACTCCCAAACGGTCATACAATTTACGGGTTAATGATTAAGTGTTTTAGGGTCATTACAGGTAAGGTGGTCACTCTCTGAGTTAGCTCGCTTCCATGGTGTGCTTAGGTGTTCTTGTGATTTTAATCATATTCCAAGTGTTTCTATGACTGGAAAACTAGTCTCTAAATTTCCAGGTTTTCCAGGATGTGTGGGAATAATCAGAAACAAAATATCCTCAAACCAAACCCAAAGTTTTATGGTAGTCACTCATTTTATGGGATTACTCTGGCAGGCTAAACTATGTAAAACCAACTATGTGAGAAGCCTCAATCAAATAAAACAGTCAACGATGTTTTGGCAGCCAGAATCGGTTAAAGACATTTCCTTTTGGCTACTGGATGGTTTATCTTTAGTCTTTACAATGTAGAAGGAACTGGGAAGAGGGCACTGTACATATTAAACTGACTGTCTCACCTCGTAGATGACGACGTTGGAGTTCTCGTAGGTGGCCGGTGACTGGGTGGAGACTGGCGACGTGGCACTGCATTCTGACACGCTCCTCATGCCGCTGATTCTGCTGTCGTCCAGACTCAGCTTCTACATGGAGTCCAATTCAGGATTGTGAGACAGGTTGTAGTTTTAACTACTTTTAAGGGGCAACCCCAGTAACACAAACACTGTCAGAAATGTCTTAATTTAATAAGAAATATGGATTTATTGAACAGAAATTGATACAGTATGACTCCAACAAGATGTCAGAGTCAATCAAACAGGGGCTGACCTTGTTGCTAAGCGACGGGTTGATGAATGTGACGTCTGCCAGAGTCAGCAAGATCTTGTTTGGACCCGTGAGCAGTCGAATCTGATTAATGCGTCGCCTAGGCAACAAGAGACAACAAGACACAACAAGACAGCAGGAGTGAGCGATAGACTGTGAATCAGTCCTGCAACTTTTTCACTACTTTAATTTATTTTAATTTAAATTAGATTGATATTCTAGACCAGGGGAAGGCAACCTGCAGCTCTGGAGCCG